CATATATATATATACACGTGATCTTCTCTCAACCAGCAGATGATCAGCTAAAAGCTGATTTGCCATAGGATGCAAGGAACATATCATTCCACTGACATTTGCCCGGGTGAATTACAAGCGACAAACGTAATCCACCAGCCTGAAAATGACATGAGGTCCCAAACACCCCTTGCGAGGCAGCAATGATCCAGAAAATGAGGCGAATCCCCGAATTCCAGTTAGACAATTGGAACAACTAGCTACAGTCTAGGAAGAAAACATGTTGGCCATGTTGTTTTATATATCAAGACAAGTTATAACAACTCACCAAATGTCATTTTGAAAGTGGAGATGTAGAAACCAATTCTTCCAAGTAGTTGTGGGAGTACTCTTCATATTCTACTTCGAACGTTGGAGTTACTCATCAAATTCCACGAAGAAGATGGAATTTGCTCATCAACAGTCGTTGGGAACATTCGAGTCACTCACCAAGCTCGATTCAGACAAATTGAGTCACTCCCAAAAATCCATTTAGACACTTGGAGATACAGGCCTCCTTAACAAATACATTTTGCCCATTTAAAAAAAAATGATGAAAAAAAAAACAGCATAGACCCCAGATAGCACACCACGGCTACGAACCATGACGCAGCATCATAATGGTTTCCGCGGCATGATAATGATGATGTTGCCAGCTCCTAGTGAGTCCGTCAGCAAAACAATGATGTGGACAGGATGATGCTGATACACCAGCCACAAACGATTCCGCGCTACATATCTAGCAAAAGAAAGGCAGAGACGACGTCCTGATGAGTTCGACAGCATCATGACGATGCGGACAGCATCATGATGATGCTCACAGCATCATGGTGGTGGCAAAGGCAGCATCTTGATCATACCGCAGCCACGAGTCATCTTGCGACAGTGTAATGAAATTCAGCATCATCCTGATGTTGACAGCACTATGCCCGCCACCACACCCACGAACCATAACGCGGCGCCGCAGCGATTGCAGCAGCATCATAACGTGGTTGACAACATCATGATGATACACCAGCCACGAACCATTACGCGCGACAGTTAGAGCAGCAACAACGTCCGAATCGGTTCAACAGCATCATGATGCTGCTGACAGCATCATGATGCTGCGGCCAGCATCATGATGATGCGACAACCACGATACCTCAAACAGCGCCCGCCCTAGCACCCTGCCATCCATCACCAACACCCGAAAACAGCAGCCCCAGCACCCCAACGCAGCAGCCCCAATAGCACCGCAACGCAGCACCCGCGCCAGCGCCGGACACGTCCCCGAGCACCCTGCCGTCACGTACTGTCACCAGCACCTGAACCTGAACCGAACAGCACCCAAAACCGCACCTGCGCCAGCTCGATCTTGCAAAACAATTTCCCTTCTTCATTAGAAGTCTATAGTTTCCAGCTATCTGGGAAATAAGCCCACGCGGTCGGCTGCGCCTCCAACAGCAACACAAAACAGCACCTGCACCACCACCCCAAACTGCATGCCCCACAGCACCCGCCGGCAATCTCCGAAAATTGCGCCCACAACGTCAGCAGTACCTCAAGCAGCACCCCAAACAGTACCCCAAAACAGCTGCATCAGCTCCCCAAACTGCATGCGGCCATCAATCTTGCAAGAATGCGCCTGCACCATCACCAGCACCTCAAACAGCACCCCAAACTGAGTGCCCCCCCGCTGTCCATCAGCGCCCTAAACAGCACAGGCACCAGCACCGTAATCAGCACCGCAAACTGCATGCCCCCTAGCACCCGGCCGTCAGTTTCGCAAAGCGGCACCTCCACCAGCACCCGAAACTGCATGCCCCCTAGCACCCGGCCGTCAATCTTGCAAAACAGCACCTCCACCAGCACTCCAAACTACATGGCCCCCTATCTCGCAAAGCGGCACCTCCACCAGCACCGAAACTGCATGACTAGCGCCTGGCTGTCAATCTCGCAAAGCAGGACCTCCACCAACACTCCAAACTACATGCCCCCACTAGCGCCTGAAACTGCATGCCCCCTAGCAACCGCCGTCAATCTCGCAAAACAGCACCTCCACCAGCACTCCAAACTGCATGCCCCCTAGCACCCGGCCGTCAATCTCGCAAAGCGGCACCTCCACCAGCACCCGAAGCTGCATGCCCTCTAGCGCCCGGCCGTCAATCTCGCAAAACAGCACCTCCACCAGCGCCCCAAACTACATGAGCCCTAGCACTTGGCCGTCAATCTTGCAACACAGCACCTCCACCAGCACCCCAAACTGCATGCCCCCTAGCACCCGTCCGTCAATCTCGCAAAACAGCACCTCCACCAGCACTGCAAACTGCATGCCCCCTAGCACCCGGCCGTCAAGCTCGCAAAGCAGCACCTCCACCAGCGCCCCAAACTGCATGCCCCCCAGCACCCGGCCCTCAATCTCGCAAATCACTTTCCCTTCTTTATTAGAAGTTAGAACCCCTATAGCTTTCAGCTATCTGGGGAAAAAATCCACCAAAATAAAGGGACACCACCATTTACAAGGCAATGTTCAGGTGTGTAATGTAAGGATCCGTGAGATACTCCCCGAGCTCCATGCAGGAAAAAACATGTTTATTCGCCAAGGTGTCCGCAGTTCAAGGTGTCCGCTGTAACAAGTTGCGGTTGCTCAAAGATTTCCATGTAGACGCTTGGACTCACTCTCCAAACTTATTGAAGCTACTCCCCAATTTCATTTCGTTAAGTCGAGTTGCTCGCCAAGTTCTATGGTAACTCCTGCCCGACTTCCGAGGAATTGGGAGTTTTTCCAAGTTCCATTTAGTGTATTGGAGCGTCATGGGAATTTAAAAGGTCTTTTGCCAACTTATTTGGTGCTACTTCGCAGCCATCCCCTTAGCTTTTTAGCTTTTAGTGTTTGGTTGGATTTCCCTTTCACCCACTACAAGTTGGTCACTTTTAGATAGGGATCTGATCCGAATGCGGACAGCCCAGTTTCTAGGTGCGACATAAAGGTAGAGCCAGGCAAGGCTCTGCTTCTCGGCGCGGTGTCTCGAACGCGAACTCGAGTCGAATGGGCTTCGGGCCCGGACAAAAGGAGCGCGGTTCAGCTTCCAATTGCGTGTCTGGCCATTTGGCGATAGGAGATGGTTCTAGTGTTGTGGCTTTATACTTATTGCAACCGGGTGACTTTGTCTCGCGCGGGAAGTTGCTCCTATCCCAATCTGTCTACGAGGGAGTTCCTATCCAAGGGATGTCTCAAAGACTTGGCACCCTAGGATGGTCTTTGAAGCGAGCACAAAAGGACACAGCGCAAATGTCGGTTCTATGTTTTTTGTTTTGTTTTTGTTTTTTCTCGGACACCCACATGGGCGTGTTTTTGATGGCAGCCTTTTTTTCACCGGATTTCACGGGAAACCAAAGGCAAGCCACAAGTTTGTGAGCAACCAGTCTTGGCCACAAGAGAAATGCTCGGGCTAGTACTGGAGGATGGGGGATGTTGGTTCAGGCAAACAATACGGATGTGCGTTTTAGGGGAGAACAAAAATGGTGGTTGTCCTTTTGGTGTTCCTTTAACACCGCACACACAAAATGGCTCCTTCAAGCAAGGCGCAGCCATATCCATATTCAGGTATCCATCAGGTGCTTTAGGTTTGCTTCGGGATTTTGAAGCCCTGAAGGGTAAATGGGAAGTAGCCCCCTTAACTTTCAAAAGCAATCCAACACACCAAGTAAAGGGAGAATGAAAGAGTATCCACAGCCACTTCTTTGAAAAGCATCCACATTGACCACAACGCCAGGGGGTGCCATGTGAATCCAAGCAGAGTCCACCCGCAAGGCCAAGTCAAATGATAAATTTTGGGGAACCCCGTTTTGCCCTTTGAGAATCCGCACAGGTCTGCAAGCCCTGTACAAGGTTTTCACTACATGCACTGCTTCGCTGGGAAACATAGTGACCCTGGAGACCACGACCCACTGGATACAATGGGTGTTTACAAACCTTTGAGCCAATGACGTGAAAGAGAACCACAGAAAACGCAACTTACAGCGGAGTCCTTTGGCGCAGGTGTCCCCTTTTGGTAGGCGTCCCCTTTCCGTCGACCAAAGAATAGACCAGGGATGCTGGTGGAACTGGCACGTGTTCTTCCACGGACTCAGAGCGTTCCTGTGGTTGGTTTGCAGGTCACCTTTGGGCCGTTTTCCAATGACCTACACATACCCCTAAGCTTACCTCTTAAAAAGCACAACTTTTCAACTTTTCTGGTAACATGGGCTATATGTCTGTAAAAGGTTAACTTCCCCAGGGCTTGGAGTTTTAAGTGGTAAGCTAGGGGTGATGTGTCTCCCGGAGACAGAGAAACACATTCCTGCAGGTTTGGCATGGCGAGAACATGAAGGCAACACCGTCGGCCCGAGATTTGTAGTTTCCATTCAGCTGTTTGAAGGGGGTTGGACATGGGACAACGCAGAGGTTGGAGGGTAAACCAACCATCAGCCACAAACCCATACAACACATCACTCTTCCATGCCTAGCCCAAAAAAAAATACACATGCCTAGCACGGGACATGCCTTCGGGTTTCCTGGTTCCCAGCAAAAGTTTTCGAGCGCTCCCGTACTTCGGGGCTCGGTTTTTGCTGGCTGGTGTCAGACTGACGGATTTGGTTTTCCATCTGAACCTTGGTGGCGATAGGGCATGATGTCACTCCCGGGAGGGCTTCGGACTCGAAACCTCGGGGATGGGTTTTCTGGGGGTTCCGCTTCTCCCCGCGAAGCATCTGGGCAATTGTTCGGGGAGCTTCAAGCTGTCGGCCGACTAACACATGGTTGTTGGGAAACATTTTGCATTTGTGGTTATTGTGGTTTAGTGGGACATCCCCACTTATCTGATAAGATAAAATAAAAATGCTCCCCTTCCAACGTCAACCAGGAAGAGTCATCTTTCTATGGGGCTCGGTGCATGTCCATAGTCGCTGGGCGGGCCCAAAAAAGTTTCACTCGTCGGATCGTCCATGGATCGTCCGAGGTGCCAACGGAGGAGGAGGCGAAAGCCTTGGCCACACGGAAGTGCCCCAAGGGCACGGCCCGGACACCCGGAAGGCGTCGGAGGCAGTTCCATGGGAAAAGGCGATACGGAGAGATTTGGATGGAACTGAGCTTCCCAGTTCGTTATTTGTCCTTTTTATGGAAGGGGGGGGCCTTGTGTTTGTCTGTGTGTGTGTGCGTGTTTGTGGTGGATGATTTTTCCAGATGTTCCAGTTGGTTTGAACACGAAAAGCGCATTGGGAGCTGTACTGGCCAACCATTCTGACTCCAGGGATCCATGTTTTGTTTAGATTGCATGTTCAAACCACTCACCCGCTCCTGATGGCCGGCTGTTGGTCAAACATAGGTGCTCAAAATGGAACCCTGGCAAATTAAAACAAGGATGAACACGTCATAACTCAGAAAATGTTCAGTTGTTCGTAGATAACCATAGGTCTGTCTCAGAATGGCTTGACACCTCAAAAGGCACCAACTGAAAAGCGACACCAAAGAAAGGGGAGGCCGGAGCTGCTTAAAATTGAGAAAGAGCCAATGAGGCTGGCTAAGCGGTGAGTAACCTCCAATCAACCCCCAGTTGACTCAAGCAAGCATGAGCCATTTGCAGTTCGCTTCAGGTAGGAGGAAAGGGGATGGTGTAAGTTTGATTCGTACGTGTGCGGCTTCGGAAACTTGTCATGTTTTCTCGCTCGCAGTCCGGACTTTTTCCTTGCAGGCTGCGTGCGGCTATTTCATGCTGAGTCCAATATGCGGATCAAAGCTACCAGCATTGTCTACCTGACTTGGACAAGCATAGGGATATGGTTGCGCGCGCTATCAATGGAAGCTGCCTAATCGCCCCCCATTCCTGCTGCCTGACCAGAAACACAACACCTGCAGCTGGTTCGTGACAAGCAACCACACCTGCCCAGTTGCCCAGGGCCACCTTTCTGTTATTCTGTTTTGGAGCTGGGGGTTCTTTCTTGTTGTTTTTCTTTTTTCCCCGGTTTTTGGCTTGCCCAGTGCCACCTTTTTGTGTTTGGTTTTGGGGAAGTTTTGGAGCTGGGGGTTCCAGAGTCGCCGTTTCGAACCGGCTGGGCCTCGGATTCGCGTCTTAGACCTTCGACGGCCCGGACGCCACCGACCTGCACCAGAAGTTCTTCGAGATTGCGGCGCGGGAGGTGCGTGGCATGCGGCCTTTCGTTTTTGTTGTTCTTCTTCCGGGCTCCGCGGAACTTCGATTTCTTTCGTCTTTGTGGCTTGCCAGAGTTCATGGCTACATTGCGCAGTGGGTGGTTTTAACAATGGCCTTTTGGGCCGGTTTGATGCGGGTTTCCGTTGGTGGGAGTCTGGGGGCAGTATTTCGATTGTTTCTAGGCGGTATCAGTGCCAGCAACTGGGGTTCCTTGAATTAGGTTGCCACTCAGCAGCTGACTTTGATAGAATCAGAGGGCCGGTGAGCGAAGTGGAATCCAAGTCGATCACTGCCACATGTAGTTTCCACAGGCTCCATAGAAATCCAAAACCCCGAGTATCCAGAGTTCCTCCGAGCGGTGACAAACAAGGCTCCAAAATTATTTGGGTCTTCAAATTGGTACATGGTGTCCTGCGACGGCCACAAAAAAAAGGGGACTCAAAAGTGCCGACGGGGTCAAATGGCGGCAATGCTTAATTTCAGGATGATGTGAGTACGTAGCGCGAACAGAATGACCTGAGCATGCCACTGTTGTTTGGAGCGCTGCGAGTACTGCGGGCCTTAATGTTGGCTCGCGAGACCGCAGCAGCCTGGGTTTCTGTTCGATGACTAATTGCAGCTTCAGACACTGCCGACTTCCATCCACATAGAAAAGTGCCTTGAGTTTGAGGCCGTTGAAGAGCTGCGTGGATTGGTGTTGCGTGTTGCGTGCCTTGACTGATTCGGAGCGCTGCAAGTAATGCAGCAGGGCCTGATCACTTGGCACGCGAGACTGCAGCAGCGTGGGCTTCCGCTCGGTGGAGCTTGCGTTTACAGGCTCTGTCGAATTCCTTCCACGCAGCAAGGTGGAATGTTGAAGAGCTGCGTGGATTGGTGTTGCGTGTTGCGTGCCTTGACTGATTCGGAGCGCTGCAAGCAATGCAGCAGGGCCTGATCACTTGGCTCGCGAGACTGCAGCAGCGTGGGTTTCCGTTCGGTGGAGCTTGCGTTTACAGGCTCTGTCGAATTCCTTCCACGCAGCAAGGTGGAATGTTAAAGAGCTGCGTGGATTGGTGTTGCGTGTTGCGTGCCTTGGCTGATTCGGAGCGCTGCAAGTAATGCAGCAGGGCCTGATCACTTGGCACGCGAGACTGCAGCAGCGTGGGTTTCCGCTCGGTGGAGCTTGCGTTTACAGGCTCTGTCGAATTCCTTCCACGCAGCAAGGTGGAATGTTAAAGAGCTGCGTGGATTGGTGTTGCGTGTTGCGTGCCTTGACTGATTCGGAGCGCTGCAAGTAATGCAGCAGGGCCTGATCACTTGGCACGCGAGACTGCAGCAGCGTGGGTTTCCGTTCGGTGGAGCTTGCGTTTACAGGCTCTGTCGAATTCCTTCCACGCAGCAACTTGGAATGTTAAAGAGCTGCGTGGATTGGTGTTGCGTGTTGCGTGCCTTGACTGATTCGGAGCGCTGCAAGTAATGCAGCAGGGCCTGATGACTTGGCACGCAGGACTGCAGCAGCGTGGGTTTCCGCTCGGTGGAGCTTGCGTTTACAGGCTCTGTCGAATTCCTTCCACGCAGCAAGGTGGAATGTTAAAGAGCTGCGTGGATTGGTGTTGCGTGTTGCGTGCCTTGACTGATTCGGAGCGCTGCAAGTAATGCAGCAGGGCCTGATCACTTGGCACGCGAGACTGCAGCAGCGTGGGTTTCCGCTCGGTGGAGCTTGCGTGTACAGGCTCTGTCGAATTCCTTCCACACAGCAAGGTGGAATGTTAAAGAGCTGCGTGGATTGGTGTTGCGTGTTGCGTGCCTTGACTGATTCGGAGCGCTGCAAGTAATGCAGCAGGGCCTGATCACTTGGCACGCGAGACTGCAGCAGCGTGGGTTTCCGTTCGGTGGAGCTTGCGTTTACAGGCTCTGTCGAATTCCTTCCACGCAGCAAGGTGGAATGTTAAAGAGCTGCGTGGATTGGTGTTGCGTGTTGCGTGCCTTGACTGATTCGGAGCGCTGCAAGTAATGCAGCAGGGCCTGATCACTTGGCACGCGAGACTGCAGCAGCGTGGGTTTCCGTTCGGTGGAGCTTGCGTTTACAGGCTCTGTCGAATTCCTTCCACGCAGCAAGGTGGAATGTTAAAGAGCTGCGTGGATTGGTGCTGCGTGTTGCGTGCCTTGACTGATTCGGAGCGCTGCAAGTAATGCAGCAGGGCCTGATCACTTGGCACGCGAGACTGCAGCAGGGTGGGTTTCCGTTCGGTGGAGCTTGCGTTTACAGGCTCTGTCGAATTCCTTCCACGCAGCAAGGTGGAATGTTAAAGAGCTGCGTGGATTGGTGTTGCGTGTTGCGTGCCTTGACTGATTCGGAGCGCTGCAAGTAATGCAGCCCTGGACCAACCACGTATGCAGAAAAAACGCCTTCGAGAGAAAATGCACAATAAAATGGCATTGTTCTTCAAAAGCGCCTTTGTGTTCAAAAAAAGCTTTCGCAGCGCAATGCCACACTGACGCATTGCCTGGTCTGTCTGCCTTCTCGAAGCCTGTACGTGAGAACCTTTGATTTGGATCTGCTCATTTGGACATCCATTTCTTCGACATTGGCCGTTGCTGCATGCAGGTTATTTTCCACCAGAGAGCCGTCTGAATCCCCTCATGGCCAGCACTGTCAGTTCGAGGGGCCGATTTGGAATGAGAAATATGGCGCGAATGTCAGCCAAAACCAGTTTTGCAGCTTGCTGTTGTTTGTTCCGGCAATTTCCGCCTTTTTCCGGCAATTTCCGCCTTTGTTCCGGCAATTTCCGCCTTTGTTTTGGCAGTGGCTGCTTTTGTTTTCATGTGCAATTTCACGAGCCACTGGCCAATTGCGTTTCTGGAATAAAGAGTGCTGCTGATGCGCTGAATCCGCACGCGATTCGTTGAGGAAAGTGATTTTTTCCAAAAAGCTGCTAAAGAAAATGCTCTGCCCATCTTTGTAGACGGAAGCATGCGCGCAATCCAACATGTCAAGCACGGAAGCACGAGCCCCGGCGAGGGCTGAGCCCAGATTGGGGTAAGCCCCCCCATATTTCAGAAAACGCCCTCGATCTAAAAAATAGGAGCCCAGTCCAAATTTAAGGAAAATTCTGAAAAGGCAAAAAAACTGCACACTTAAGACGCTGCAGGGCAGGGCCTGATCACTTGGCACGCGAGACTGCAGCAGCGTGGGTTTCCGTTCGGTGGAGCTTGCGTTTACAGGCTCTGTCGAATTCCTTCCACGCAGCAAGGTGGAATGTTAAAGAGCAGCGTGGATTGGTGTTGCGTGTTGCGAGCCTTGACTGATTCGGAGCGCTGCAAGTAATGCAGCAGGGCCTGATCACTTGGCACGCGAGACTGCAGTAGCGTGGGTTTCCGTTCGGTGGAGCTTGCGTTTACAGGCTCTGTCGAATTCCTTCCACGCAGCAAGGTGGAATGTTAAAGAGCTGCGTGGATTGGTGTTGCGTGTTGGGTGCCTTGACTGATTCGGAGCGCTGCAAGTAATGCAGCAGGGCCTGATCACTTGGCACGCGAGACTGCAGCAGCGTTGGTTTCCGTTCGGTGGAGCTTGCGTTTACAGGCTCTGTCGAATTCCTTCCACGCAGCAAGGTGGAATGTTAAAGAGCTGCGTGGATTGGTGTTGCGTGTTGCGTGCCTTGACTGATTCGGAGCGCTGCAAGTAATGCAGCAGGGCCTGATCACTTGGCACGCGAGACTGCAGCAGCGTGGGTTTCCGTTCGGTGGAGCTTGCGTTCAGGCTCTGTCGAGCAGCAAGGTGGAATGTTAAAGAGCTGCGTGGATTGGTGTTGCGTGTTGCTTGCCTTGACTGATTCGGAGCGCTGCAAGTAATGCAGCAGGGCCTGATCACTTGGCACGCGAGACTGCAGCAGCGTGGGTTTCCGTTCGGTGGAGCTTGCGTTTACAGGCTCTGTCGAATTCCTTCCACGCAGCAAGGTGGAATGTTAAAGAGCTGCGTGGATTGGTGTTGCGTGTTGCGTGCCTTGACTGATTCGGAGCGCTGCAAGTAATGCAGCAGGGCCTGATCACTTGGCACGCGAGACTGCAGCAGCGTGGGTTTCCGTTCGGTGGAGCTTGCGTTTACAGGCTCTGTCGAATTCCTTCCACGCAGCAAGGTGGAATGTTAAAGAGCTGAGTGGATTGGTGTTGCGTGTTGCGTGCCTTGACTGATTCGGAGCGCTGCAAGTAATGCAGCAGGGCCTGATCACTTGGCACGCGAGACTGCAGCAGCGTGGGTTTCCGTTCGGTGGAGGCTCTGCCGAATTCCTTCCACCCCTGAGTTTGAGAATGTTGAAGTTTCTCGTGGATTGGTGTTCCGTTCTGCCATTGTATTTTGCGAGTGTTTCCCCATGCACGGGAATTGAATAACATCCATGTGTTGTCACCGTACTTATTGTTCAAAGACAGATCCCTTGCACTTGTAAGGCGGGTCACGGTTCCTTGCTGTACTGGCGTTGGGGCTATCCCGATTTGCACATTTGCGTACTGTTGATCCCGCATTTAGAGCGTTTCCTTTGGGTAGCCAGCTGAGAACCAGAAGCTTCCAGTGATGGGGTGATTTGGGGAAGGCTTTAGGCAGCCAATCCCTCAGGTCTGCCCCTGGGATTGTGGGTTCCTGTTGGCGCGAAAATCGATTGGTCTACCGTTGCGGGCGGAGGTGAGGGACCGCAATGGTCCCATGCCTGGTGAAGAGTCTTTTGAGACCTGCTTGGAGGACTGGCGATGAAATGTTTCCTGGATCCTAGGGATCTGGAACCATGAGCATGACCTGCTTGGAGTAGGACTGGCGAATGCATCACCCACGCCACCTGATGGACTTTCCGCTGCTCACGGGTCCCGGGCATCAGCCAGGCCGTGGCCGAATTCCAGCCCAGCTTTGAGCGGGCCAAGGTGCGGTGCAAAGAGGAGGCGCGGCGCCGGGAGTTTTTGTTGTTGTTTTTTTCGCCTAAAAGTCGACCTCCAGCGGGCATGGCATGTGCTGAAGGCCTTTGTTTCTTTGGATTTTCCGGGTTTCCTTTACTTGCTGGTGCGATAGGTAGGAACTGACCTAACCCTGCTGTTGCACTGGAAGAACTGGTTTTGGGGTCCCGAAAGGAAACCGAGTTCGGGGATGGGTTTTTCTCGCATGTCCCCCTGAGCAGCAGCCAAGTTGGGCGGAGAGGTGAGGTTCAGTTCCGCTTGACACTTGTGAAGTAATGGCTTCCAGTTGCTTAAGAATATTAGGTCCCCCAGCTAGATGCCCTTTCTCACCCCCTTTGTTGGTTGGGATGGCTCCCCCACTAAAATAGACTACAGAAAAAAAAGGTACCCTTATTCTAACCTCTCTACTGGAGGACCTAGAATATGTTTTGTTTTTCCCCTGTTAGTTTTAGAGGGAATCTATCACTCTTAAGCATTTTTTTCCAGGGGACTTCAGCAAATGCACGCTGATATGACCTATACTGGACGCTTCCCCAATCAGGATCTTCGTTCCACAGCACATCGTGTGAGCAACTGAGCTTACCAGGAACCTGGGTGTCCCATTTGCAGTTGGGGCTTGGGATTTTGGATGTGTTGAAGCTTTGCATCGCTGCATCACCTGGAAACAAAAGAGCATGTAAGCGTAAGGGGCATACAAGCTTGTGTAAGTGTACAAGCCTACATCCTTTTAGACATGTCGAAACTTGTATTGACTTGAAACTTCACATCATATGGGTGTCTGTTTTGAGGTGTGACCCTCCACAAAATGTTGGTTTTCCTTGTGGTTTCCCTTCAAAACATCAAAAGCAGATAGCCCAAAAAGCCACACCCATGTAGCTTTAACCACCCCCATTACAGCTCGAACCCTTCCCCCCCCCCCCCCCGCCTTCCGCGCATCGCGCCCGTCGTCTGTCGCTGCAGCCCCCCAGTGGCTCAAGATCCGTCTCCGCCGGCCAGTACGCGCTAAACGGCGTCCAGTCAGGCGGGTTTTCTCCGTTGTGCGGGGGTGGGGTGGAGGGGAGGGGGGAAAAACATGGGAAATTGGTTGAAATATAATTGGTTTGTGAAGAAAAACAAAAAACGATAATAAAAATAAAATAACACAAAAGTCGTGGCTCCGCCCGCCGAAACAGCCGAGTCGAGTTGTCTTAATGGGCGATAGGCATTCGGCCTGTGTTTTCCCAACGGGTTGGAGGCGTTGGGGAATGCAAAGCTGCAGGTGCGGTGCGAGTTGCTTGTGTGCTTGTCAAGTCTCACAGCTTGTACACATTCAAACGCTTTGGTTCAATTGTCATGTATCCCAAGGGTGTACCACTAAGATTATACACAACTCTTTGAAGATAAACTGATTATGCATTATATAGGGGCTTCTTTTGAAGAGCTCTGGGCTACATGGAGGTCTAATATTTTGCATGGGTTAGAATTCGCAGACTGGCGAAACTTTTACTGAAAACATCAGTTTTGCAGTGAGCGAAGTTTCTGCACAAATGTTAGCTTCATCTTTACCTCGAGATGTCGTCCGCGTTTTGGAATTTCCTCTTGGCCGCTTTTACAAGGAAAACCAAGAGTAAACCAATCATTCGGAGGGGCTGTATTTCAGGACAAACGCAGAAGGGTGTGAATTTTGCTTCGGAATGCTTTAACAAACATCAAAAACACAGAAATGTACGCCCAACAACCATCTTCGAAGAGGTTCTGCAATAAGACTCATATTGTTCACCGCGGATTAATTCACCTAGCTGAATAGTAGGGAGGTCCCCTAGGATCCCCTTATTTTGGGACGCTCCATATGTGTTCCCCAGTTGTTGCAGGCGGAACATGGTGCTTGACGAGCAGTTCATCCAGAAGTGCCGCGAGGCAACGCCGATTCATTGGAGCGAAGTCGCCAGCTGATCTTCGAGCACTGCTGTCGCGTTTGGCGGGTTTCGCAAGCTGATCTTTTGACCTTGCGACGTTTTCTAGTGTGATCATTTTTTGTATGTCATTTGTTCAACAGGTTGAGCTTGCCTTTTCGGCCAAATGTGGACGAATAAGCTGCTCCGATTCATCAGAGACTGTTCTCGAGGAACTCTTTGTGTTGGACAACAATCAACAAACGGGATGACGTTCTCCCAACATATTCCCCGATCTGAAAAGGAGCACAGACATAGACATATTTGCTTTGGGGTAAGACACCCGCGTGTTGTTCGTATCAAACGTATTCTTAACGACTGCGTCAATACAAATGCAACACTGAAACAAACCCGCCAACCGGGCCAGCTCTCAGCCAATTCTAAACCATTCTATCAAGTACTACAGTACTTCCTGGAAGACTTATCTAACCCCTTCATTTTATTTGGGCGGCGAATTAAGCGCTGCCCTGATTAGTTCATAAATCAAACAGCGAAGCAGCTGCAGCCCACACCGCAAGCAATCCTCTAGAGCAAACACACCTCGTCGTCACTGTACTGTTGTTGGTAGCCTTACATTCATTTACACACCTGTTGATGCCAAGTGAGAACCAATTTCAATTTATACGTAAGCATACATATGTGTACGTATATATATATATATACACACATATATATATATATATATATATGTATAGATCCGTATGTCCACATGCTATCCCGGAGCAGGCAGCCTGTTCTTTGAATGGTTCCCTTGGGCTTTGCAGATGGGGACAGCTGTTCAAATTTGCTGGATCTCAGTTTGTCGGTTGAGTCTTAGCAAGTGACCAATCCAACATACAGCACAGGATTGCAAAGCTGGTGTTATTGCATGATGCAGCCAGAACTCCGGTATGGGCTTTTATGAACTCAGTATTGATGTAGTAGTAGTTTACTATCAATTCAGTACTAGTACTGCTCAAGTATTACGTCTGAGTTTAGTAGCAGCATTAGTTTGAGCATTGCGGCTTCTCATTTGGAACTTGTTTTGTATGGGTTGACTTGTGTCTTTCCAGTCTTCTAAGAGTTGAGTAATACTTCAGCAGGAGCTCTTAGCATCAGATCAATATTAGTTTGGTGCTGGCTTAGCATTGGTGACTCTAATATGGTTTTGCTTTGTTGAGCCTAGGCATTCCGCCACGTAGAGCCAGTAAAGTAAAAGCACACAGCAACACAACTTGAAAAGGCAGCATGTTTCTACGTTTGCCAGGTTCAGCTTTTTGCTTCTACTCGGGAAGTATAAAAACAGCAGGTGAGGCCTCCGGCCTCATGTAAAGTAAACAGTAAAGCTGCCACAAGAAAAGAAAGCAAGCTGTCTTTACTTCAAGGAGTTTTCTCTGTTTTACTTCTCTCCACTAAAGTAAAAGAAACTATCAATGGTAAGACTAAGACTTTGTGTACTTCAGACTGTTTATGCTTTTAACTTTCCCCATTAAATGTAAAAGGTTTGAACTGTTGGACCCATTACAAGCAAAAGGGTAAACCCGTAAACAATGCTTTATTTTTGATAAGTTTTTCCTTTTGTACTTTTACTGGGGAACCGTCAAACAACAAGACTTCCTGAAGCAAGATAAGTTTGACTTCGGATTGACTTTTCATGCGGGCAATGTTTAACTATAACTTTTCCCCAGTAAAAGTAGAATCACAATTCCAAAGCGTGACATGTTTGACCCATGAAAGTAAAAACCAGAACTGCCTAAAGTAAAGCCTTTTTTTCTAGACATTTTTACTTTGTTGTTTTTACTGGGCGAAAGTATGAAAGTAGAGCTGTGTGAAGCAAACACATATAGACCTTTCGTGGTTTTGTTCTTGTTTTTTTGAACCTTAGGTGGGCAAAGCTCCCTAGGTAACTTTTGTTACTTTTGACAGTGTACTTTTTACTTATTCGTGAGTCCGTAGGGACAGGTAAACAAGTAAAAGTCCCTGAAGTAAACAACCGTAGTACTTAAGGAGTAGTTTTTTACGTTTCACGGGCAGATGTTTTACTTTAAACTGTTTAGCTTTGGGGGACATGTACCCCAAGCATGGGTGGTGTTCCTTTTCGTTCCCTTTCAACCAAGCTAAGAAGGGTACCCTAACACTATATGGTACCCTCCCTCCCCCACAAAAGAGCACAGAAACAAAACTTAGGCTTTTGATTTGGTAAATCTAGTATAGTAATTACAAATGAAAATGCACGACCAACCCAACACACACAATTTCAACAAACCCACATACACACACACACACAAACAACAACAAAGCTGCAAAATCCCTGCAGGAAAAGACGGCTTCTACACAAACATGCACAAACACCACACACAAACATGAATCTGGTTCTATTTCTGGCGCCCGCCAAAACTATCCCCAAGGCGCCTAAGGCTGAACACACGTGGACGCATGTCCGCTTTGGGTGACCTCGGAGGTTGGCTCAGGTGCGAAACGCTGCGGTGGCTGTTTGCGGCAGATGGCTGTGGTTCGAAAAAGAGGTACCCTCCCTCCAACAAACGTAGCACCTGGGGAAGGGTACCCGGATCATGACTCTTTTTTTTCTGGGGGTACCCTGTGTCAGTTGCCATGTTAGTGGGAGGGAGGGTACCAACACGGTACCTGGTAAATGGGACCAAAGACTATCACCTGCGTATCCCTTTCATTTGGAGCCACACCCAGATGTTGGTCAGGGCCAACCACAGGTATTACGGTATGGCCCTTTTGGTTGTTGACATGGTGTGGACCCCCTTTGAGACCAGGTTTCATTGTGACTCACTGGAAAGTGTCCCAGAGGGTGCCTTGAGACCCAGGATGTAGCTTGATCCATTGCACTTAAGTATGCTGTTCGCTGCCCATGTGTCTAGGGGTAACTTCCATTTCCATTCTTTCCAGGGATCCGAATCTTTCTAGAAAACCACCCAAAACCCTGAAAAAATGGCTGGTTTTGGAAAATAACGATGGCTCAAAAGAATGGGGAATCAACCCCTAGAAATGTGGGCCTTTTTTTTCTCCCGCATCCGTGATTTGAAGCATTCCCATGGCCGGCTTCTT